CTTTCAACATATTGTGAGAGTTCCAATTTCTACACTCTTGATGATATAGATATTATCAATCTTTTAAATTTTTACCAATATGTTCATTATTATTATTGTTTTAATTACTCTGTTTCTACTAAGATTGAACACTTTTTCACATATTTTACTTCTGTTTATATATTTTTAATCTCCCATGCATATTTTTGCCTCTTTTCAATTTTTTAAATTTTCTTTGAAATTATTTGTTGTTGCTCTTTATATTTAATACATATGAATTCTTTATTTTATATACTATAGTACTTTCAAGAACTCTACATTTATATGTAGTTTAACTTGTTTATGATATTACTTATCATAAAGGACTTTTGTATGTGACTGTGGGTGCATTGTGAACTGTGTGTGTGTGTTTATTATAGTAAAAAAATCATCTTTTATTTTATTTTGGATTCTCTATCTTGCTTACTGTTCTGCTAGGCCCATACAATGATTTTGGAAGGTTTTTTAAAAATATTTTCAATATTCAATTATACTTCTAAAAGCATAAGAATTATCTATTCTTAAAATTTTGGTAGCAAGAACCTTGACACCATGTGCTGGGGTGAAATTTAGATGTTCTTCCTGCTGTGGTTCTGATTCAGCTTCGGCAAAAATACTTTACAGGCCTTCCTTTGAGTTGCGTGTTGTTCTAGACAATTTGCTAATTTTCAGGGTCCTTTTCATTTTTGATCTCCCAGTCAGAGAGAAATATTTAGTCCCTGCCACTTACACTCTCTGTGGTTGGAAAGGGTTTTCTAACCCAGAGAAACATTTCACATATTATATGCTTCTCATCTCAACCAGTTAGCTTCCCTCTGAATTAAAATTTGAGAATTAAAAAAAAAAAAAGTGCTCACTTTTTTCTTTTCGGCTTCTAGAGAGATGATTAGGAGATGTATATAATGGAACAGTACAGTGGTTAAGTAAACTTAACCTTGAGGCAAATTGCCAGGATACAGCTCTGACTGTGATGCTAATTAGGTTTTTACCCTGAAAATGAAGTTACATAATGTACCTTCATCTTCTAATCTATTAAGGGGATAATACTTGCAACCTCATTAGACTGAGGTGAGCTTTAAATGAGTGTATATTTATAAAGTTTTTAGAATAGTGCTTTTACTCAAGTAAGTGCTCAACAAGTATTATCTAAAATTACTGTTATCATTTAACAGGAAGGAATAAAATTGAGTGAGGATAAATTATTTCAGTCATTTGATACCTGTGGCACATATAAATCTTAATCCTCAAACTCATGTTTGTGAGAATATATAAATATTATTGTCTGTTGTCTAACTGCATTTTCTTATTTTTTAACTTTTTAATTAAGTAAAAAAGTATATAAGTAAAAATGTGGTGAAAGCATATATGTACAGTCCAATATACTAAAGCAAAGAAATCACCTGTGTGACTACAACCTATAAAGAAATAGAATATTGCCAACACCCCAGAGACTTCACACCTTTTCCCAGTTGCTACCTCTTCCTGCTTCTGCCTATAAGATTTCTTTATTTTGACCTTTAACTCTGCAGTCCGCTTTTGTCTGTTTTTTGAATCTTAAACAAGTGGAATCATATAGTATGTATTATTGTGTGTCTGGCTTTTTTCACTCAACATTGTGTTTGAGCCTATAGCTGTACTTCATTAATTTTCTTTGCTACATAACAGTGTTCCATTGGATAAAGAAAACAAAGTGCATCCATTCTGCTACTGATGAACATTTGGCTTATTTAAATTTGGGGCTATTGTAAATAACACTATTTGGGGCTCTTGTAAATAACACTGTAAATAACACTGCTGTGAATAATTTTATTCATGTCTTTTGCTGTACATGCACTTGCAGTAGGATACATACACATACACTCAGGAGTAAAATTGCTAGGTCTTAGAGTACATCTGTGCTTAAGTAGACAAGGTGACAATGTTTTTTCAATATGTCACTGTTATGCACTCAGGAGAAGTTTATGAGAGCTTCTATTTCACCATATCCTTTAACAGTCTTTTAAATAATAACAATTCTGATAAATGTATATTGTACATCATCACGATTTTAATTTATGTTTTCACAATTACTAATGAATTGTCCACTTTTTCTTATACTTGTCAAGCTTTTGGGAAACCTTAGTATGGCATGCCTATTCAGGTATCTTGCCTAAATTTCTTTAATATCTTTTTTCTGTTTCTCACTGCATGGCAGGAGTTTTTTTTTATATTTTCATGGTTTGAGCCCTTGGCATGTATATGGATTGCAAAACATGTTCAGTCTTTACAATACTGATTTTTTGCAATTCTTGAAAAAGAGAGTTCTTTCTCTCTTTATTTAGGTTTTCTTTACTAGCTCTAAATGCTTTTTATAATTTTCCTTATAGAAGTCTCTTACATATTTCATTATATTTTTTCACATTTATTTATTTATTAAATAATATATTTGCAGTTTTTCTTTTAAAATATTTTATATATTGAATTAGTACTAAATATCCAACTAAGCTTTGAAAGAAAAACAATGTGTTTCAGATTTTGCTTCAAGGAAAATCGTGGTTACATTGCGAAGGATGGTTGGAAAGTAGTGGAGAAGGAACACTAAAAGGCCTTTTCAATTACCTAAGTGACAGTTTGGGCTTAATGTAGAGAAATGGAAATTAATATGTGATGAATTTGAGAGCAACGTGAGAGACTGAGTCCATAAGAATTGGCATCATTTAGATGTGAAGAGCAATGAAATAGGGTGAGAGAAGGAAAGTCACTTTTCCTGCAAAAAGTCTCACATAGTTTCTCTTTCTTTTGGAAAAATGAGATGAACTATTAGTGTTGAGTGGTAGTCAAGAGGAAATACAGGAATTCATGATGCTTTTTTAAAAAATGTTCTTGGAAGCTCCTTTCCATAATCTCTTCTTGTGTGCTCACTACATAGGAGGTAAACAAAATATATTTTTTGAAGTTTTCTCCTACCCCTTGTGACTAGTCTCCATCCTTCGTGACAAAAACTCAGCTATTGCTACGCATGAAGAAAAACCTATTTTAGTGATGAAATAGGAGCTGAGAAGTTTGCAGTCTTCTGCCTAGGAAGACCCTTGGAGAAGTTACTGTCATGCCTGATGAAAACATCTGACATAGGAACTTCCTTGGAGTGCAAAAATTCTTACCAGGTGTTCTGGTGCAGGGAGATCCCACTCTTGCTAAGATGAGGTGATAGGTGATGCCCAGCTCTCCAGAATGGGCCTTACTTTCTAGCCTGGGATGGAAGTGAGCTATAGGAAGAAGATGCACTGTCAAGGAAGAGGACAAACCAGCTGAGCTTTTATTAACAGCAGGGGTGCTGTTTGGGTGAAAGACCGTTAAAATAAATCATTTGCACCAATAATTATTCTTTCCTCTACTACTTCATTTTTTTCCTGGACTGCATTTCTATTTTAATACCTTATTTTTCCAGACTAATTTATTTCAATAAACCCAGGATTTCTTTTTTCATTCTTCTGTGCAGTTGCTATGTTCAAGGGATTTACACAGTCCCAAAAGCTGTGATAGGAATGGAGTGAAATAGCACACCTCCTTGTCGCCTGCTACACAAGCATTGCTTTTATATCAGCCTTGACCTCTGGATACTGATAGCTTTGGCTTTTGGAAATTGAAAAGCAGAGACTTGTTTAATGTTTAATGATTTCCCTGTCATATCCATACCTGAGTCAAAAAGAAATCATTTAATATTTCAAAAGCATTATTCTACTACATGTGTTTTAAAACTAGTGAGAACATATAAATCTCTCATAGCACTTATTTTTCAAAATAAATTTTACTATTTCCACCTATTTTTTCAAGATTATCTTTAGAATAATGTAGTAAAGATCCATTTTGACTGTTCTTTTAGAAAAATGGCTCTTGTTAACTGGAAAGTGCTTTTTTTGGCCAAGCAACACATTATGGCGAAGTGAGTTTGGTTAGAGACAGGGTTTAGGATACAGCAAAACTTTGTGGAAATTTCACCATTTCTTACTTCTTTTAGATTTTTGGAGTTTCTTTCTCCCAGTCCTGCAGATTGAGCTGGCTTTCCGTGTGTGCTCCCAGGCTGTCTGTAAAGGTTCACTCCCACTGTGCACAGGACCCAACCATGGGGTGGTAAGGGAGGCAGGTGGAGCACTGGGGTGCTCATGGCCATTTGAGCAAGAGATGCAAGCAAGGTATCCCCAGCTGCTTGTGTGAAGGCTTCCTGATGGAGTCTGCACAGTGGTTAGTAAGATCCGTGGTCCTTTGATAAATTCTGAGTCCTGGTTACTGTCCTCCCAACCTCTTCCATTCACTCAGTCATGCCGATCACATCAGTATTCTGGGTGGGGTGAGAAAAAGGTGAACCTCTTGAGCAGTGTTTCACAGGCCTGGGGAAGCCAGCACTCCCTATGCTATCACTGCTCATTCCCACTTCCCCGACCCCGAGAATAAATCATGGGCCAAAGGAAACCGAGCTGTGCTGCAATAGGGAAATGTAAGCAGGTAAAGTGAAACTGTTCTTATGCCCCTTAATGCATCTGTTCTCAAATTTTATGCTGCACTGTGTGCTAAAACTTCTCTACTGGACTCCCAGATTCTTCTCCATGGGAGGTTGTCAAAAATCAGTGTTCTATGGGAAGGATTTTGGTAGAAAACACCTATTCTGCCATTTTGCTAATACTTCATGAATTAGTTTTTGATGTTTTAAAATTCTTTCATTGCCACCGTACATAAAATTCTTAATAATTCAAGTCAGATTATGACATACGCAATTGTTCTTTTATAATTTGTAACATTTATCATCCAAGCTATCTTGTTCAATGTATTTTTCCTCCCCCATTTTATATCTTAGTGACAGTATCCCTCTTGAATTTAGCTTACCAAATAAAATAAACTAGGAGTCATTCTAGACTCTTTATCTTTCTTCATTAGTCCATGTCAAATTTGTCTCCTAAATAGTGCTAAATTCAGTCTCTATTTTTCTTTCTTACACTTGCTGTCAGGTGTAGGTGTTCATCATGCTTTTCCTGGATTGAGGACTCAACTTCCTGATTTATCTTCTCCCCTCATGTCTTGCCGACTTCAAACTTGTCTTCTTGCCTGTGGCAAGGCTGCTTTAACAGAATATGCTACTCAGTTGGTAAGATATGCTTTGTAAAACCTATTGATAATTACATCTTCCTTGTTTTACTGTGCTTCATGAAGGAATTACAAGTGTGCTTAGATGTTGATGTCCTCCCCCCTCAAGGTGAGAGCAAGGGGTCCATGACTTCTGCAGTACCCCAAGCCAGGAGAAGCTGCATGCTTATCTTGGTTTATCATGTGAGCATATTCATTTCATATGTATTACTAGACTTTAGTCAATGTGGAAAACACTAAACCAGAACACCCAAAGTCCTTTCAGTAATATATAAGACCTTCCACCCACAACCGTATTGTATAATTGATTGTGCAAATTTTTAAAAGCATATCTCTTAGCCCTCAAAAGATGATTTTAGAAAGTTACCCCAAGTAGACAGCAGGCTTACCAGTTAGCATTTTGGAGCTTTAAAAAAGTTGCTTCTTTGCAACAGATGTAGCAATTGCAGGACAAACTGCATAATCATGAGCAGCAGCCCCACTTCCATTACCTGATCTTTCAGTGTGTCTCTTGCTTTACTTTATGGTTTTTGTCATGTTTCACAAATTATGCCTTTAACCCTTCCTGTCATTGCTTATTTGGAAAACCCTCTATACCCTCTTTCCTTTAATAATTTTTATTTACCCAAATGCTTTCAACTCAAGTGTTACTTCTTCCTTGAACCTGTAGCTTTGCTTCCATAAAATTTATTGTATGCCATTATCATAGCCATTATCATAACACTTTCTGTGTATGGTGTTTGTCTTTTCTAATGGACGAAAACTCCATGAAGTTAAATTACTTCTTCACGCAGAAATTTACTACTAAGTATCAACCCAAGAGAAATAAAAACATATCCATACAAAAACTTGCACATAGATGTTCTTATAGGCATTATTCATAATAGCCAGAGAATGAAAAATAACCCAATTGTTCATCAATGGTTGAATAGATAAACAAAATGTATTATGACCAAACAATAGAATATTCGACTATTAAAAAACACAGTATGCATATGTACTGTAAGCATGCACAGTGAAAGAAGCCAGATATAAGAAATCATATATTATATTATTCCATTTATTTTAAATGCTCAGAAAGGGCAAATCTTCAGAGGGAGAAAGTATTTTGGTGATTGACTGGATGGGAGAGTGGAAAATCAACAGCATAAGGGACATATCAAAGTGAAGAAAATATTCTGAAGCTGATTTATGATGATGGTTGCGTAACTTGGTAAGTTTACGAAAATATCATTGATTTATACACTTGAAATGAGTGAATTACATGATATGTAAAAGAGTCCTTAATAGAATTATTTTTGAAAACTTAGATTACATCTTTATTCATTTTTATAGTTTTAACTACCAATTCAAGATATGTGCTACATAAATTTCCATAGCCTTCAGCTACGGAAGTATTCAACTTTCCCCCCTGACTTTGTCTAGTTATTATTTCTTTATTTATAATTAGACTAGAAATGCCTTATCATTAATTGATAAATTTTTGGTTTATCTCAAAGGTCACCTATAGTTTTACACAATATTTCGTTAACTGTTCATTATGCATTTTCTCAAAGTAAACCTTGCTGTAAAAAGTTATTTGAGATGACTCCTAAAATAAAAAGTTCTGTAATGAATAGAAGTTTGCAAAATTGCATAAAATTGACCTCTCTTGAAAGAGTCAAGGCTAGCTGTTGCACAGTTTTAAGAATTTTTAGTTAGAAACTCTGTTTAAGTTTGTGTTGGTTGGCTATTGCTAAGATAATGCTACATTTTTTAAAAAGTCTAATTTGTAATGGTTTGCAATAATAAGCATGTATTTCTCACTTACAGATCTGAGAGTCAGCTGGATGTAGGTATAATTGCTTCAAGCATCACTCTTTCTGGGACCTGGGTAAAGGGGCAGAATCTACCGCAGGGAAGGCTGCTTTCATGATGAATGACAGGAGACAAGAGGCCATGCTAAACCACACAGGAAAATAAGAAACCTCTGCTTGAATGTGGTGTATGTTGTGCTCATGAATCAGAGCCCAAAATCAATGGCATGAGGAAATACACTTTATTCTTAGTGAAGTCATGGCAAAGAAGGGAATGGAAGGAAGACCTGTGACATTGGAAGCAGAATTTTCTTAATTTATAAATGGAATTTACTCTTTTCTTCTTTTCACAATAAATTTAGAATCCCATTTTCATGGGCTATAATTTGGGAAACAACGATAATTTAAAAATGTAATTCTCAGCTCTGGGTTCATATTAAAACCACATGGGATATTTAAAAAAAAATTTATATTGATGCCTAGGCTCAACTTAGATCAAATGAAACAGAATCTTTGGGGACAGGGCCCATGCATTAGTACTGCCTTCATTTGATCCATGCATATATAAGAAAAGGTTGAAAACTATTGCTGTAGAGAAATGAAATATGGCAAGATATTTTTCATAGTCTTTATTTCAACCTTTCTAACTAGACTTCAATATTTGTTTTATATCCCTAACCTTAAGACCATTTCACTTCAAGCATATCTGAATTTTAGTATTGAAGTTTAAGTGGGCTTTATTCTAATATTGTGGCCTTATCAAGATTCTAAATTGTATTTTCCTTGGGGTGAGTCTGTAGAGAAGAGAAGATTATAAATACCTTTGTACAACTTTTAGTGCCCTTTCTTTCTCTGGTATATTATTATATGGAAGAGAGAATATATTTTGAATATCAAATATATTATGATTAACAGTTATGTTTTCCAGGAGGAGTAGAAAACACAATAAGGTCTCAGTGTTCTACATTTACATAGTTTTAAAAATGCATAGCCAATGAATTGCAACATTATTTCATAAATGTTACAGGATATTAAATCTTTTTGGCCTCAAACATTTTGGTCACCTTATAGGAAACTCTTATTTTCACCATAAAATAAACATCTATTATTTTGTTTGAGTTATATATATTGCTTTTAAAATTTGTTTTCAAATACTTTGAATATAAAGCACTATTTAATAACTATATTTAATGAGTTATAAACATTTCATTTATGTTATCATTTTATTCATATTTATGATTTGAAGTTTTTGAGTACTTATATGTAGCATGGCAATTCAGAGTATGAAATAAGAAAGAAATTAAGTCTAAATTATATCAAAGCATATTAGCAAGAAAAAGGCAAGAATCAATACAAAAGAAAAGCATAGTACATAAAGCAGGATAAAGTAATCAATAGCAGTGGATTACAGTATGCAATTGCTGATGATTACAGGAAAGTTACTTAAGTTATATAGTGACACTAAGAAATACAACAAATATTTACTGCAAAATTGCTTCAAAGGATAAAAGAAACCCCAAACAATAATGGTGAAGTTTAAAAGAAAACTATGGACAAAAGAGAAAAAATATCAAAATTATAAAACTTTCTGAGGCATTTAAGAAAATAATTTTTGGAAGCAATTTGTTTTCATGTCATCAAAGAATTAAAAAAAGGTGTCTGGGTCCATGTGGGTCCTAAAATACATATTCACAGAGCTAAATTAGATATTACTAATTAGGTAAAACTTATTTTATAAGGAATTAATGTGGATTGTGCCAGTTATTCTGCATTTAAAAAATCACTAGAAAATTAATGGATTAAAGCAACAGTAAATGTTTTTACTTTTCTCTCATGGTCCTGGGGACTGATTTTTCTCATTTGGGTGATTCTCATTGAAAGTCTTGTTTGTGGTGTGAGTCAGATGGTGGCTGGGTCTGGAATGATCTCAAAGGCTTTCCTTCTCACACATCTCCATATGACCTGGGCTTCCTCACATTATGGAGGCTGAGTTTCAAGAATAAGTATCCCAAGAGAACCAATAGAATGTGAATCCTATACATGACCTAGCTTTGGAAGTCATATGCTGTCACTTCCAGTGTAGTCCAAAAATTCAAGAGGAGGACCTGTAGAGTCTGTATTTCAAAGAGGAGAATTGCCAATGTCATGCTAAAAAAGCACGTAGGACAGGAGATTTGTTTGCTGCCACCTTGGAAAAACAATCTGCTACTTAAATCTTAAACATCTTTTTAATTTTACCTCGTTGGGGGCAATAAAATATCTAATAGAGAAAGCTTCAGAAAATGTTCATGGTTCATGGAAGAGTAAATGAATCACTAAATGGCTAAATTGATTCATATATGAATGCTTTTTGCAGCTTTAATTTGCAGAGCATTGCTGTCTTTCTCAGTCATAAATCAGACAACCTGCTGCTTTCAGGCATTCATTCCTATTCTGTTATTCTGAGGCCACAGAGAAAACAATTCTTTCACATGTTAGACTATACTTCAAAAATTTGAGATCGGCTTGCTGTCTCATTTATATCTTCACTTTAAAGATTGTATATGCTTTTAAATACTTTTAATGTGACAGGTTTCCAATTCTCTTGTCATCTTTGACACATTTTCTGGAAATTTTCAGTTCTTAAATGACCCTTCGAAAGTATGTGTTCCTAATAGAACATAATACTTTAGGTAATGTCTCACCAGCTGAAAGATGTAATAAGACAGCACTTCCTCTCTTACGGTTCTATATTTTTATTGATGCAAAATAAAATATTTTGCCTTTTCTTAGGAAACATGTTTCAGAAAAAATCAAATGTGTATTTTCATTTTTAATTGTATAAATTTTTGCCAAAGCGAAAATCAGAAACCCTTATTTTGGCAAGTATTAAGAATTTCAAGGCCCTTAAAACTGACATTTAGAAACCAAGAAAACAAAAAGCTATTATAAATAGGTTACGATTCTAAAATAAATCCAGAGAATTGACACCAAATGAGATCATGCTGTTTTAACATCCAACATGAAAAGAACCTTCCAAATAATTCATAAGACTTCTGATTTAATACTATACGGCTGATATCACTGAACTAACCAGCTCGGACTTCCCGTTTAAAAATGGTAAAGACCTTCAAGTTCAGAGATGAAAACAATAAAACCTAAAATTGATTAACAACCAATTGTTAGAATTAGTTAAATTTGTAATACAAATTTGGCTTGTATGGATGGGTTAAGTCTCTCTTTTCTTATAGTCCTACCCATATTTTGACTCTAAATTCTAAAATTTCTAGAACTTTGTTAAAAGTATCAGCAAAGTAGTCAGACTTACTAGACTTAAATCACAGTTTCACTATTTATCTTATTGATATTGAGGCAAGTTACTTAGCGTCTTCATGGCTCAGTTTCTTCATCTGTAAAATAAAGGTATTAATAGAATCAGATCAGAAATATATATAAAGTACTTAAAAAACAGTGCATAGGACTCAGTAGGCATAAAACGAGTACTCAGTAAAAGTGGGTTAATAATAATTATGTTCCTATTATAGGATAGAACATTTTAGTTTGCTTAAAAATATTGAGACATGTAATCCTTCAATGTTGTCGCTATTGGCTAAAACAAATCTATATTTTCAGCATCAGAATATTGGAGTTCTGTAGCTCCAATGATTAAAACTTACCTTTGGAGGCATCCAGACTAGCATTCCACCCTCATCACCATCACTTCTAATATATCCCAAATCTCTGATCTCTCCAGTACAGCCTTACTATTTAAGCTCCTGTCTGCAGACTATCAGCCTGAGTGTCACCTGGAACTAGTTAGAAATTCAGAACTTCAGCCCCACTAAGATCTACTAATTCAGAATCTGCATTTTAATAAGACCCCAAGTTTATTCGTATGCTTATCAATATGTAAGGAACTGTGATATGTTTATTCAGAGATTGTAATTCCCAGCAAAAACCTTGTCAAAAGAGATCTGAGAGTATGAACTAGAACTTTTAGAGTCCACTAGTAAATCCAGATGTATTGATTTGAAACCAAAAGCAAGTGGTGCACTCTGGGATTTAAAGTTTTTACCTATTTTATCTGTATACATTTCGATATGACATAAAGGAATACAGAAGGGATTAATGGACTAGTTCTTGGAGCTGGAAGCTGAATACATCAATTGATTTTCAGTTCTAGATATGAGAAGAAGATTTGAACTGTAACCAATGAGATAGTAAGTAGACGAAAAGGACATTGAAGAGTACTGTTTGTATTTTTTAAAATGCTTGAATACATTTTTCACAACAAATGAAACATTCTATTTATTTATTTATTTATTTATTTATTTATTTATTTATTTTTAATTAACAACTGGAAGAGAGTCTGGAACACAAGACACACCAAACAAATACATATTGAAATCAACTAAAATATGAAAATAGGGAAAATTATAAAGAACCAGAGAATATTCCAGGGTTTAGGAAGCTCTGTTTGGTGGCAAAAATAGTTATAATAGGTACTAATAGGTAGGATTAGGATTTTGCACAGGGCATATGAAAACTCTTGTATATATCTCATCTAACTTATGTTCATATGAATGGGAGAAAGATGTTTATAAATAACAGTATTTCACAGTTGCTCCTTAAGGGAATGGAAAGGAAAGTAATGACATTTTAGGAAAAATGAATATAGCCTTTCCTATGAGTCATGGATGATCGGGGATCAGTCTTGATGTCTTAAGAGAAGACTTCGGAGAAATATTAAAGTCCACAGAATGAAGGTTCTTGCATGATATTCTGAAGAGTGTGTGTTTAATCAGGTGGGAGTAGGGGTAGTTTTAAATGAAGTCTGGAAGTATTTTAAGGAGAAAAATGTTCAGATAAAGGTTTTTTTGGTTTATTTTATATATAATGATAAAAATAATACCCAATGGTATTGTGCACTATCAAGTATGAGATTTATGTGTGTGTGTGTGTGTGTGTGTGTGTGTGTGTGTGTATGGTTGATCCATGAACAATGTGAGGGTTAGGCATGCAGACTCCTTGCACAGCAGAAAATCTACACGTAACTTTTGATTCCCCAAAACAACTACAGTCCTCCCTTGGTATTAATGGGGGATGGGTTACATGACCCTCGCGGATATCAAAGTCCATGGATGTTCAAGTCCCTTATATAAAATGCTATAGATCAATTCATATAGTTGGCCCTTTGCATCTGCAGATTCCCAGCTGTGGATCAAAAATACTGTTTCAGTACTGTGATTGTTTGAATTCATAAAACCCCTAGGGATACGAAAGTCTCACTGTATATTTGTTGGAAAAAGTCCGTGTATGAGTGGACCCATGCAGTTCAAACCTGTGTTGTTAAGGGTCAACGGTAATCTCATTTCATCTTAATAACACAAAATCCTATGCATTACGAGCTGCAATTATCCTCATTTCATAGTTGAAACTGTATGAGGTTAGAAAAGTTAATTTTCCCAAAATTATGCACAAAGGAAACTTAAACATGGTAGGAAACTAGATATTCTTGTAGTTAAAAAAAAAAAAAAAAAAAAAAAAGGGCCTCAGAACATGGGGCCGGACTTTTTTTTTTTTTTTTTTTTTATGCTTTTCATGAATGGAAACACATGATCAGTGGAAATGAGTTTTACTGTATTATTCACCATGGCCTACTTTCAGCTCTCAGGAGAAAGAAGAAGCAGACACTTCTGTAGGATAAAATTAAATACCTCAAGGGATCTTGAGATCAAGAATTTATTAATGCACAGTCAACACAAGCAAGGTACAGAAAAAAATCTTGGCCTGACTCACCTGAATGTTTTGTCCTCAGGATAAAAATGTAATAGCATTGCAGATCTTAGACAGCCTTCATATTAACTATTTTCTGTGTCACACTTGTCCACTTGAACTGGTTGTCCTCCATATGTGGTGCAAAGTGGTCAGCCTGGTCTCTCAGTTCACCATTTTCCTGGTAATTTCACTCACTTTTCTATTATTCTTGATCTATTTTGTGTCCACTATTTCTTTATCTTTGTTGGTTTACTCTCTTACTTGAAGAACACATCTTCCAATAACTTATTTAAAATTGCTTCATGAGAGAATAATTTACTGAGACCTTGAATGTCTGAAAATATTCTTATTCTACACCATACCTGATCT